TGCGTGCCGAGGGAGGTGCGAAGGGCAGGGGGCGGGGCCCCAGGGAAGCTCTGGAAGCGTTGATTGGCTGCGCGCTGCGGAAATGAGGAGGGGCGTGTCTTCAGGGAGCTCTCTGGGGGCAGAAGGGTGAAGCGTGGAGAGGAGGGCAAGTCTGTGGACTTGGTCATCTCCTCCTCCTTCTGCTCCCCGCCGAGGGTAAAGGGCAGGCAGTTTGGGTCTGGACATCTCCAGCCATGGCGGAGCCTGAGTGGGAGTCGCTGGAGCAGTGCTTGGAGAAGCACCTGCCGCCCGCAGACTTGAGGGAAGTGAAACGCCTTCTCTATGGCAAGGAGACCAGGTCTGGAGCCCAGAGGCTGGCGGCGGGGGTGGACCTTGGGGCCGGCGAGTGTGGGGAATGTGGGCCCGGGGACCAGAGCGCTTCGGGGCCAGCAAAGACCATAAGAAGTTCAGATGTGCGGGTTCTGGGCCGCTCAGGGCCCAGACAAGGCTGGCGTGACCTTTCCAAGCCATTGTTGCCCGGAACCGGAAGGGAAAGGACGGGTATTTTGCTCCCTGAGGCTTTCTCTGTGGCCACCTAACTCTCCGTCCTCGCTTCCGGGGATCAGGACTCTCCCCAGACCCTGGACTCTGGTGTCTGTGCTGGTCAGTGCCTCCAGCCAGAGCCCCAGCAGGTCACCTGGTTGCCCAGCCCCAGCCCCTCCGTCGGGGAGGCCTCCAGCGAGGTCCCCTGGAGGTAGGGGCCTGCTGAACCTCGTGGGTCAGGGAACCCTTCCCCCTTGGCAAGCCGTGGGGGGTCAGTGACTGCTCAGTGCAAATGTTCTCCCACTCGCAGCCAGTCCTGGGCTTTCTGAGGGCATTGCCCTGCTGGACACCGGGTCTACAAAGCCGGAAGACACTGCCCCTTCCCCTCCCAGTTCTCTCCAGTCCACTTGTCTCAAAGCAACCAGAAAAGGGAAATCCTAGCCTATTGCTCCTTCGCTTAAAGCAGTGGTTCTCAACCTTGGCTGCACATTAGAATCACCTGGGAATCTTTTTAAAATCCTGATTTCTGGGCCTCATCCTCTGGAAATTCTGTTTCTTTGTTATGGGGTGAGGCCACAACATTAGTAACAAAGAAACAGAATTTCCGGAGGATGAGGCCCAGAAATCAGGATTTTAAAAAGATTCCCAGGTGATTCTAATGTGCAGCCAAGGTTGAGAACCACTGGCTTAAAGGTCTGTGCGGGATTTCCACGACTCTTGCAATGAAATCCAAACTCTGACCCCATGCAGCTTCTGACCACCTGTCCTTCCGCTTCCCTGCCATTGGCGGGCTCCCTGACCGTGGCAGGGACACGAAGGCAGGAACCTGATCGGCTCACCAGAAACGTGAGGGTGTGGATTGCGTCAGTGGGTCCCAGCTGCCATGCTGTGGCGTTGCTGCAGGGAGGTCAGGCCTCAAGTGCAAAGGTGTTTTCATTGCTAGTGGATGACAAAGCTAGAACAGCTGCCTTTGGGGGTGGAAGTGGTACAGAACTTGGCCAAAAAAGGCCGCTTCATACCCAAAGAGGATGCCAGGACCGGATGGCCTGCAAGGGCCCCCCAGTGTGCTTTCCACCGCACCCGTCAGGGCTCGCCACTGGGGAGGCTCCCAAAGGCGTCCCGGTGTCTTAAAGCAAGGGGCACCTCAGGCTCCTGTGCGAGGGATGAGAATAGGTTTGTGGGAGGTTTTTTGTTTTGTTTTTTTTTGGGGGGGGGGCTTTTTTTCAGCCTTGTCAAAACAAAGCCACCAAAAATTTTGGTTTCTCCCCCCGCCAAAAAAAATTGGGTGGGTTATCTCTGGAGTTCAGGATGGGGGCTGAGGGGTAGGATGGAGCGGGGCTCATTTTTCATTTGATGTCGTTTTTCACTGTTTGATTTCCCCCCATGAGCATGTGTTTCTTTTGTAACAAAGCTCTCATCTAATTCTTTCCAACGAGGGGAAAGGTGACGTTCTAGAAGTGAGAGGTTGCTGTGGAGGCGGGAGCTGGGCTCCGTCCTTCGAGATGTGCCTGGACCCTGGGTGGAGAGGTAGGGGCCCAGGAGAAGGACCTGGAAGGTGTTTGGGCCAGGACAGGAAGTGGTGGGCTTTCCTCCTTGAGGTTAGAGGCAAGCCCACGAGGGGTGGGGGCCTCAGTAGCAGGATGTGGGGTGGCGGGGCAGACCCCCCAACTATAGGGACCAAGGGAAGGTGTGGGCAGCACAGATCCTCCCCCGCCCCCCGCCCCTTGTGTGAGGTTGGGCTCATTTCCTGGTCTCTGCCCTTCCTCAGTGGTGGCTGGTCTGTGCCCCACCACATCGCCAGGCCACACCTTCGGTGGGCACAGCCCATGTTTTGAAAGAATGGGGCTCAAGGATTGAATGGGGCTCCAAGGCTTGGCGATGAACCCCCTGGATAACACCAGGGCGGGGGCATCTTGCTGAAGGGGAACGTTGAAGATAGGTAGAACCCTAAGAAAGTGGAGGGGCCTGGCCCGCGTCGCCTCAGGCCTAGGAGAGAGGGTGTCTACAGGGACTGAGGGCTGGAGGTGGGAGTCAGCATAGAGGGCGAGGAGGCAGGAAGGTGGTGGCGGGAAGACGGGCAGAGCAGACAGCTGTGGGCAGTGGGTCGGGAAAGATGGCCGGAGGCAGAGGGACGTCATCCAGGTGATGGTTATCACGGGGCTTGCACACCTGAGACGAGACCTCCTCCACCTGCTCTCTTCCAGGCGTGAGCCCGCAGGCTGAGGACGGGGTGCCAGGGCCTCCCCACGGGGTGGTGCGGCTCCCTGGCCGTGGGCCTGAGGGACGCAGAACCCCCTTCTCCGTCTCCTTCTCCGTCCACCACGGGGCCTGGGCCTGGGCTGAGCCTGCGGGATGGAGGGGCCCCTGCCGGAGGGAAGGGCCGTCTCTGAGGCAGTCACGGCGAAGGGGGCGAGGTGTGGGCACCGCTGTTATTTCTAACCTGTGAAGCGAAAGGAACTGATTGTCAGGGGCGGAGCCCATCTCGGCAGCTGTCAGGGCTGTCATGTGGGAACTGCCTGGCAGGGGGCGGCGGCAGGGGCCTGCGCTGACAGGCCTGTGATTTTGAAAGAAACATCTTGAAGAAAGTGACTTCAGGTGGGAGGGAAATATTATTATTAGATAATGGCTGTCAGGTTGTTTTTTGATGTGTTCCCTGGGTATTTCATAACCATCGCGTCCCCAGATGGCAAGGCCTGCCCGGCCGGGGCCACACCTCATGCCCCTGTGGGTTTCACCCCAGCACCGAGCGTGCCGCAGGCCGAGGAGGTGTTTGCCACGGGGCCAACGGTCGCTCTGGTGGGAGGCTCCGTAAATCATCCACTGGCCTTGGTTAATAAGCCACAAACCAGGGGCGCTCGGGCCTTCAGCCTGGACATGTGGGCCCTCGCCAGGCCCACCCAGCACTGAGCGAGGGATCGTCTCCGCCCCCCGTCCCTCGTGCCCCCCCATTTCCCCCCCCCACCTCGCAGGAGCAGCAGCAGACAGACGGTGGGGATCCCGGGAGACGCGCAGTCCTCGGTGGTGAAGGGCCGCAGGGCCCTCTGTCCCGCTCTCAGTCCCGGCCTCTCCACCCAGCTGTTTCCTGAGCCCGGTTCTCCACAGCCCCCTCTCATCACAGCGCACCCTCCCCAGGCTCAGCAGAGCCTCTGAGTCTAGTCCACAGGCATTTTGGGGGATCCATTTCCTCGCTCCTGTGCTGGTTGCTGAGACTCCAAAACACCAGCTCCTGACCAGTCTCCCCGCCACCCCCTCCCCCCGCCTCCCTTGGCCAGGTCTGACCTCTGCCACCTGCTGGAATGTCCCCAATGACCATCCGCCTGAGTCCACACTCACTGCCGTGTCCGTGTGTCCCTTCTCAGCCGTCCAGGCCCTCCCCCTCCTCCAGGCCCCACTCCAGCTCCCCACACGTGCGCCCCGCCATTGGACTGCTCTGTGTGCCTTCTTTTTTCTTTAAATATATATATTTTTAATGATTTCAGAGAGGAAGGGAGAGGGAGAGAGAGATAGAAACATCCATGATGAGAGAGAATCATGGATCGGCTGCCTCCTGCACACCCCACACTGGAGATCAGGCCCGCAATCTGGGCATGTGCCCTGACGGGGAATCGAACCCTGACCTCCTGGTTCCTAGGTCGATGCTCAACCCCTGAGGCACGCCGGCTGGGCTCTGTGTGCCTGCCTGCCAGGGCACGTCACCTCTTCCCTGCCTGGTGAATGCCTCTGGGCCGGGGAATTGTAATTCACCGCATGCCGATCGTCTGCCTCTTCTTTCTGCCCATTCAGGAAGCTCGACCTGCCCAACCAGGCTTTGGAATCCGCCGCTGAAGGGGACTTTGAGCTGCAGGGATACGCCTTCGAGGCGGCCGAGGAGCAGCTGCGGGGCCCGCGGACCGTGCGCGTGGGGCTTGTGCAGAACAGGATCCCGCTGCCCGCGGATGCCCCTGTGGCCAAGCAGGTGCGGCTGCTTTTGCCCCTAAATAGACACACGGGCCGGGCCCGCTCGGTGTTTTGGACGCGTCCACAGCCCCTGCCGGCCACTTGGTCTCGGCCAGCAGGTCCGAGTGCCCAGACACCTCTGCCCCCTTCTCTCCTGTCTGTCTGTCTGTCTGTCTGTCTCTGTCTCTCTCTCTCTCTCTCTCTCTTCCTCTCTTCTTTTTCTTCTGCCTCCTCCCCTTTCTCTGCCTTCCTCTCGCTTCTCATGGTTCTTTCCACCTCCACCTCTGCTTCCTCTTCTGCCGTTGATCTGTGGCTCCATTTTCCCCTGGGGATGGTGCCCTCGTGGCTGGTTCAAACTCTCCACGGAACTCCGCCTCTCAGCCTCCCGCCAGCACGCACCAGTCAGGACCTGCCCGTCTGTCCCACGTTCCTCCTCCTTGTCCCTGGGCTGGGACTCACTGTACCCAGGTGTCTGTCAGCTGACGGTGCCGCAGGGTTGCGGGAATGTGATAGGCGTTTGCTTACGAGCTTACAGGGACTCTCCACGGGACAGCTAGTTCTTTAGGTTTCTTCCCTAAAGAAACCTGTGTGTTGTGTACACGTCCTCACAGCTTTCCTCCAGCTGCTCCAACTTCCCAGCTCGCTCGGCAGAGGCGCCCTCCGGCTGCCACCTGCTCGGGTTTCTTAGGGTTCTCGAGACCCCGGGGATCAGCTGGGTTCCAGGTCGGGTTTCTGCATTGTCCTCACATCGGTTCTTCTTCTGCTTTTTATTATTATTATTAATATATTTTTATTGGTTTCAGAGAAGGGGAGAGAGAGAGAAACACCAATGAGGAGAGAGAATCATGGATCGGCTGCCTTCTGCACGTCCCCCACTGGGGATGGAGCCTGCAACCCAGGCAAGTGACCTGACCCGGAATAGCACCCTGATCTGGTTCATAGGTCGATGCTCAACCACTGAGCCACGCCGGCCGGGCCTTCCTCTGCTTTGGTTGGATTAAAAGGGTTCTGATTTTCAGATGAGTTGATTGTCAACATGTCTCCTTCATGGTCCCAGGTTGTCAGGTTGTCAGGGGCCGGGGTGCTGCACACAGCCCCGGCAAACATCCGTGAGGCCGGGGTGCGAGGCCGCGACGAGTTTGTGCTCTCTGGTGTTCAGCTGCTTCCGGGTCTTTCTCCGAGCAAACGCGGCTGAGCAAACGCTGCTGAGCGTCTCCCGGGAGCCAGCCATGATGCTGAGGACGCAGGGAAGGTGGGGACACTCTCCTCCTGGGGTCATGGGAGCGACAGGCGGTGGAAGGGTGTGACGGCGCAATGGGAACTGATCCGCCGCAGGGGCACCTCGATGCTCCCGGGAGACGCTCCCCTCGGCGGGTGACACGGAGAGCTCATCCAGGGAGGGTGGCGGAGGGGAAAGCACATTCCTGGCCCCAGGCACGGCTGAGAAAGCGAGTCATTCAATGATGAGCTACACACAGGAGAATAGAAGTGGCAGGCCCTGGCCAGTGATGCTCAGTGGATAGAGCTTCGCCCTGTGGACCCCGAATCCCGGGGTCTTCGATTCTGGTCAAGGGCACATACCTCGGTCAGGTTGCAGGCTCCTCCCCGGCCCAGGCCTGGTCGGGGTGCGTGCAGGAGGCAACCAATCGGTGTGCTTCTCTCACATCAATGTTCCTCTCTGTGTTTCCCTCTCTCTTCCACTCTCCCTAAAAATCAATGGGAAAATATCCTCGGGTGAGGATAACAAACAAAGTTTAGAAGTGGCAGGATGAGGCTTTCCTGAAGCCTGGAATGCAGGACCCGGGAGGGATGGGGGAGTGGACTGTGTCCTGGGATGAGGGAACGGTTAAACCAGGGGATGTCCTGTGTGTGGTAGGCCCACTGGGTGTGTCCCCCCCCCGATCTTGCAGTAACCACCATCCTCATAGCAAGACAACCCCAGGAGGCAGGCAGCGTTCTCCCCATTCTCCAGTCAAGTAAACCGAGGCTGAGGAAGGCCATAGCGAGGGTGCAAGGGACCCCAGAGCCTCTGCAGCTCCCCCTTTTCGTGTAGATTTTGGGCCTGATGACAGAATGCGCTGTCAGAGCCCCCCCACCCTGCTCACCCTCCAGCAGCTGGGCCGGTGGGGGTTGTGGCTTCCTGTGGGCTGGGAGGAGTTCTAAAAGGGTCGCCACCACTGGAACTCCTGTGCTCTCATCCCGGGTTTTATTTATTTGTAGGGAATTTCTATAAATTGACTTGAGCCCAAACTGACAACATTGCCAGGAAGCAAAATCGCAAACCTTGCCCCCAGAAGAGCCGTCTGCAGTGTGTTCTGTGCGCTGGAAACTAAGGGGGGCTCTGAGGAGGGTCACATGAGAAGGTGGGGGGCGGGGGGCAAGGCAGGAGCTGGACGGCAGGTCGTTCCCAAGTTTCCACGCCCTACGGAGGGCTGTTCCGCTTCTGAGCGGTCGGTCGGAGAGGGTCCTTTCAAAGACGGGCTCACCTAGACGCCCGGGGACCAGGGCAGGGTGCAGGGCTTGCTCACGACAAAGACAACCTTCTGCCGAGGAAGGTGCAGGCCTGAGGAGTGACTGCCCACAGGACCTGCCCAGTGAGGGTTTGTGGTTTGTGATCAGACCACCCTGTGAAGTCACTGCCCACAGAGCCCCTTTTGTCCTCAGTTCCCCCTTTCGGTCGGAAGAAGGCGCTGATGACCCAGCTCCGGCTTGGATAGTGCGGTCTCAGCCCTAGGAAGTCTCATTCCTAGGAAGTCTCAGTGTCAACGTCCTCTTGCTGACCTTTGGGGACGGGGCGGTCCGGTCACCATGGAATGTGAGTTGAGGCCGAGTTTTCCCCAAAAGGGCAAGGGCAGGTACATGGAAGACAGTCAGCACTCGGGATCGTTTCCCTCCAGGGAACCATCATGATCTGAGTCTTGCTGTGTGTCTCATTTTTCTGTATTTTGCATGTAGTATAACATTTCCATAAGCCATAGCAAGAGCATTAACAGTTATCTGATACACACGTGTTCAGTAATCCTAAACAGTTGGATTATATAGAAAAACCCAATGAACAGATATAAGGATTATGGCTAATATTGTTAGCAGGCAGAGAAAGACAGACAAAATAGTTTCTGAGTTCAACATCAATCCGTGGGTGTGTGCACAGGCCTGTCAGTGCCTTGGGGTAGCTGTCTACCTCTGACGCCCACAGCTTCTCATCCGAGAGGAGCCTTCGATGCCCCTGTGGGCAGAGGCAAGGTTAGGGGTCCGTTCAGGTCGGGTGCCTGATACAGTCCCTTCCAACCAGGTTGGAGAGTGCCTTTATTTGATGTCCTTTCCAAGTTCACCCAGTCTGACGCCGGGTGGGGCACAAGGGGCCTGTGCTGGCACCCAGCTCCGGGTCTGGGCCTGCGGGGTGGTCCTGGGCGGGCTTCTTTAAAATCCTGCCAGCAGCCCGAGCCGATTTGGCTCAGTGGATAGAGCGTCGGCCTGCAGACCAAAGGGTCCTAGGTTCGATTCCAGTCAAGGGCATGTGCTCGGGTTGCAGGCTGGGTCCCCAGGAGGGGGTGTGTTAGGAGGCAGCCAATCAATGATTCTCATCATTGATGTTTCTATCTCTCCCTCTCCTTTCCTCTCTGAAATACATATACATAAATCCTGCCAGCATATGTCGATGTAAGAAGCGTCCACATTTGTAGAGAACTTTTGTGAGTTTATTTGAGCCAAACTGATGATACTGCTGGGAAGCGAGGTCTGACATGCTCCCCTAATCCTCGATTTTTAAATTGCCAGGTCTCCGCCCTTCACAGGCGCATAGAGGCCATCGTGGAGGTGGCTGCGATGTGCGGAGTCAACATCATCTGCTTCCAGGAGGCCTGGGGGGGGGGGGGGGGGGGGGGGGGGGGCGCGTTCTCAGCCGCCCTCGGGCAATACTGCGTTATCTCCATGTTGATAAGGGCCTGCTCCGTGGTTTTTAAAAAGTCTCCTTTCTTTTCTCATCCATAGAAAGTTTCTTTGTCAACAAAACCAGGAACCCAGGAAGCCCAGCTTCTCTCCCTCCCTCTCACACGCCCCAGTCTGTGTCACCTGGTCCTATCAGTTCTTCCTCCCAAATCCTTCTGAATCTGTTTTCACTTCCTCCTCTTGTTAATCCTCACCCGAGGATATTTTTCCACCGATTTTTAGAGAGAGTGGGAGAGGGCCGGGGAGGAGCCTGCAACTGAGGTACGTGCCCCCCGACCAGAATGGAACCTGGAACCCTTCGGTCTGCAGGTCGACGCTCTGTCCACTGAGCCTAACTGGCCAGGGCCCCTCGGCCTCAGCACTGCCCAGGCCCCGGGCGCCGTCACAGGGGCATCTGTAATCGCCTTCAGCTGGGCTCCTTGTGCCCTGGGCTTCTTTCCCTGAACAGCTTTCTGTTTGCCCTGGAACTGGCTTTGTGTTCTGCATCCTTGCCGCAAATTCTACCCCAGCTCTCTGCCAGTTTCCTAAAGCTGTCTGTTGGTTTCATCTCCTGGAAGGCATGTGGCCCGTGGCCTTCTGACTCTCTCGGGTCTGAGCTGGGTGTCCCCTCTGCTGGCCAGGGTTGTCCTGGGATTCCCCGTCACCGTCATCCTGGGGAGTCCCTTTGCCACGCTCTTGTATTCTCCCATCCCACGCCTTCCTCTTTCTTGGTTTGCTCCTTCATTTGGGTGGAGTACAGTTGATCCTTGAATAACGTAGATTTGACCTGTGAGGGTTCACTTATCCATGATTTTTTTTTCCATCTAAACAGACAACCTAAACTTACAGTATCAATAAATACAGCACAGTACCGTCCTGTAAATATATATTTTTTCTTTTCTTAATAACATTTTCTTTCTCTCTAGCTTATGTTATTGTAAAAATACAGTATATAATATATATAGCACACAAAATATGTGTGAATCGGCTGTTTACGTTATCGGGAAGGCTTCCGGTCAGCAATAGACTATCAGTCGTTAAGTTTTGGGGGAATCAAAAGTTACACGAATATTTTCAACTGCTGGAGGGGTTGTTGCCTCTAACCCCTGTGTTTTCAGGGTCAACTACAGTTCCCTGAGAAAAAACCCACAGGAGGTAACCTTTTGGGGACCTTGCACATCTGAAAATATGTTTCTCCTACGACTTGGTTGATAGTTTGGTTGGGTATAGAATTCTAGGTCAGCAATCTTTTTCCTTCAGAAGTTTAAACACCTTGCTCCATGGTCTTCCAGCTTCAGGTAGTTTTCTCCAGAAGGTTGTAAGAGCTTCTCTTTCTCTCTAATACTTTGAAATTGCATAATGACATGCTGTTGTATCTATTTTAGTCCACTATTCTAAGCACTCCATGTGTTATTTCAGTCTAGAAATTAGGGTCCTTCAAAACTAGGAAATTTTCTTATATTGTTTCAATAGTGATTTTCTCCCCTCCTTTTTTTCTCTGCTTTCTTCCTGATCTCTTGCTATTAGGATATTGGAACTCTGGGCTCAATCCCTATTTTTTTAATGTTTCGTTTTGTGTGTTTTTTTACATCTTTGTCTTTCCCCCTCCCCCCCCTCCCTCAATTCCCTGGTAGATTTTATCTAATTTGGCGTTCAGCCTGCTATTTAGTCTTTGGTTTCTGCTCTCATATTTTGACCTTATCAGAGTTCTTTTGGTCTGAAAGTTCCTTTTTTATCACATCCTGTTTTTATTTTATAATTGCACTATCTTCTCTTATCTCTGAAGATATTAAGTGGTATTTTTTTTCTTCCTACATAGTCCTTTCTTACTCCTTTTGGTCTTTTCACCCCTGATGGATTCTATTTTCAGACTTGGGGGTGAACAAGCTGATTGCAATCTCTGAGTTTGTAGGACGGGTTTCTTCGCCGAGCTTCATGGTAGGATGACCCAGTTTCGCTCTTGGTTATGCAATCCCCCACGGTACTGTCTCCAGGTCATTCTCTGCAGACTGGTCAGATGCTCTGGAGAGGATCCCTCTAATCTCCTGCCAAGAAGAGAAGGAGAACAGGGGTCCAGAACGCTGATGTTTACTTACTCCCTCTGCTTTGGACACTATGCTGTTCTCTGTCCTGGTCTCCCCAGGGCCTGAGACCCTCTGCCTATCTCTCTCTGGAGAATGAGCCCGTGGCCTTGTGCAGGGGCGGGCGGGGCGCATCCCAGCCTCTTCTAGTAGAGGACGGATCTGGGCCTCCCACTGCTTCTTAAACAGACTTTCCACCGATCCTTCCTGTTTGTCACCCCTTCCTGCGTCCCGACCTTCAGAGCTACGCGGCGCCTCTGGCTCCTGAGCTTTCGAGGGGCCTGTGGTGAAGGGTAGGGTGCCTCCTGGGCTCCTCCACGGCCAGAGGGACTCCGTTTTCTCAGTCCCCCAAGATGTCCTCTCCAGCCTCCTGTGTTGTGGCTGTTGTCCCTCTCCCAGTGCCCATCCATGGTGGTTTCTACCTTCACATAAAAATCCCTGTGCTGACATGCAGGTGGGGTGTCAGGAAAGAATCCAGTCTGCCATCTGTACCCAGGCGTTTCTCTCAAGTTTTTTACATTTCTGGTTGCATGTCACTTCCGATTTTCCTGGCTCTTCCCTTAGACTCCAAGCCCCGCGAGGCCAGTCTGGGTGTCGCTCGTTTGTTTCATTGTGGGATAGGCTACGTTCTCTTTACTCATTCCCCCACCCCGTGTTTTTCTTCAGTGGCTCGAACAATCGCCGGTACATGACAGACACTAAAACATAGTTATGGGTGGTTTAACCAACTCTCTCCCCTCTGCTGGATCTGGAAAACTCCCACTCAACCATCATGGCCTCGCACAGGCACCTCCTCCTCCAGGGGCCCAGGGGACACCCCGACACAGAACGGGGTATTCGGTGGCGTCATGGCAGCCGCACCAGGTCACCCTTCAGCTACTCTGTCTAGGCGGCAGCTCCTGCGGGCAGAGCCAGCTCTAGGCTTACAGCCTGACTCGGGGAGTGTTGGTTTAATGAATGGGGAACCCCCTTCCCCTCCAGCCAGCCTCCCCCTCCTCCATCCCACATCCTTCTTTTGAAAGTTAGTTTACATGGTGATGGTTGTGTAAACAGGAAACGAAGCCATTAACATGGGAAGAGTGGAGACGGAGAGATTGGGAGCGCCTCCCTCTGAAATGACATCGGGAAGGGAGGTGTTATTCTCTGGGGGCGCCGAGTTGCCCCTAATGCTCTGAAAGCCGAGAAGGAACGCTCATTAAGGATGGGGCTTGCTGTCAACAGCTCCTCTGTTGGCTTCCTCCAGACAGTTCATCTCTCTTCGCTGAAGAGGAGCCTGGGGAGTCTTGAGCCTGCTGCCAAGGCCCCCACCGGGCTGCTGCTGGCAGAGCCTGGCGCCCACTTAGGCACCTCCCTGGCCACCACCCCTGGCTGCTGAGAGGGTGGCGGTGCCGCTGGTGACCTCTTTGCCCTTGACACCATCTTCGTCCCAGGCTCCCTGGGCCTGGAAGGAATGGGGGTGCTAAGGATTCTCTTCCTTCTCCGTGGGGTGAGGAGGGTCAGGTCTGCTTCGCAGGGGTGTCTGGGAAGAGGCTGCCTATGACCGGGCGTGGCACTGTGCTGGGCATGTGGCCTGTGTTCGGGGGAGGTTGACGATGATGATCACCCCCAACAGGTTGCAACCGGTTAAATCGCTGACCAGTCACATCACACAGCTACCCATACCCCTCCCCACAGGGCGCCAGACAGCAGGCGTCGGGAAGGCCTGCTGGGCTCATCTCCCTGAAAGACATGAACTCGGTTATCAGGAGGGGGCAGATCGACAGGGCGGATGGAATTGGTCCAAACAAAGAATTTAACTGTCCCAGAAGAGAAAGACAGACAGACAGACAGCTCAGTGGGCAAAGGGTATGAACAAGACGGCCTAGAGGACACATGCAGAAGGCCAGGGACCACCGGCAGGCTCACCCCATTAGACGGGAAGGTCCTGAAGAGTGTGGCTCAGGCCGCAAGGGATGGAACACACTCAGCCAGAGGCCCCGGGGCCCAGCCCCATCGCGGTGCCTCTCCTCCCCTGCAATTTTATATTTATTTTAAAAATGGATTTCAGAGAGGAAGGCAGAGGGAGAGAGAGATGGAAACATCAGTGATGAGAGAGAACCATGGATCGGCGGCCTCCTGCACGCCCCACACTGGGAATGGAGCCCACAACCCGGGCCTGTGCCCTGATTGGGA